CCCCCAACCCCAGGGTCCCTCCATCCCTCCTGGGACCCCCAATCCCAAGGTCCCTCCATCCCACCCAGGACCTCCAAGGTCCCTCCATCCCACCTGAGACCCCCAGGGTCCCTCCATCCCACCTCGGATCCCCAAGCCCAGGGTCCCTCCATCCCACCAGGATCCCTCCATCCCACCCGGGTCCCCCCTCTCCGCGTGGCTCCGTCGGATCTCCGGGATTAAACGGCGGCGCCCAAATCCCCTCTGATCCCCCCGATCCCACACATCCTATATTTACCGCCCCGATTACGGGATCAGCGCAGCCACCTCCCACCTCCTGCCAGGTGTGACATCAAAAACAACCCCAAAACCAGGCACTTTTTCCCCAAAACAGGGCAGGTTTGCCCCAAAAGCCAGTGGGGCTTCCCCAGGAGCAGATTCCCTGAGACATGAGCCAGACTTCCCCAAAAAACTCAAGTTAGATCCTACTCAAAAACTCAGCTAAATTCCCTCAAAGATTCCCTCAAAAACCCAGCCAGATTCCCTCAAAGATTCCCTCAAAAACCCAGCCAGGTTCCTTCAAAACCCCAGCTGGATCCCACCCAAAATCCAGCCAGATTCCCTCAGAGATTCCCTCAAAAACCCAGCTGAATCCTGCCCAAAATCTGGCCAGATTCCCTCAAAGATTCCCTCAAAAACCCAGCCAGACTGTGCCCAAAAAACCCAGCCAAATTCCTGCCAAGAGCCACCCCAAAAGAGGCAGATGCCACCTCAAAAGGAGCCAGAACCCCTAAAACGAGCCAGATCCCACCAAAAAAGAGCCAGATTCAAACAAAAGGAGCCAAACCCTCCAAAAGGAACCAGATCCTGCCAAAAAGGGCCAGATCTCCTCAAAAAAACCAGATCCCCCCAAACGGAGTCAGATCCCCCCAAAATGAGACAGATTCACCCCAAAACGAGCCAGACCCCCCAAAAGGAGCCAAACCCCCCAAAACGAGACAAACCCCCCAAAACGAGACAAACCCCCAAAAACGAGACAAACCCCCAAAAACGAGACAAACCCCCAAAAACGAGACAAACCCCCAAAAACGAGACAAACCCCCAAAAACGAGACAAACCCCCAAAAACGAGACAAACCCCCAAAAACGAGACAAACCCTCCAAAAGGAGCCAAATCCTGCCATAAAGAGCCAGATCATCCTCTCAAAAGGAGCAACATCCCCTCAAAAAGAGCCAGAACCCCGCAAAACAAGCCAGATCCTCCCCTCAAAAGGAGTTAGATCTCTCTAAAACGAGCCAGACCCCCCCCAAAACCAGCCAGACCCCCCCCAAAACAAGACAGAAGCCCCCAAAATGAGACAGACCCTCCAAAAGGAACCAGCTCCTGCCATAAAGAGCCAGATCATCCTCTCAAAAGGAGCAACATCCCCTCAAAAGGAGCCAGATCCCCCCAAAACGAGCCAGACCCCCCCAAAACCAGCCAGACCCCCCCAAAACCAGCCAGACCCCCCCCAAAACCAGCCAGACCCCCC